ATAGATAACTTTATTTATTGTTATTATTAAACTAAAATCTCCAGCATGGGGAAGTGGGATGAGCTCGACTTTTCTCGACACCTCTAAAGACAAACCAGAAACAAAAACTAAAATCTAAAAATCATCCACTATCTTGTTTTCTTTCACAGGAAATAAAAACATTTAAATCAACATTATTGGTATTTATTGAATCAGAAATATTGATATTTATTTTCAGGATGTTTTCACTCTGACTTTGGTCGTTTGTGTTTATAGAAGAAGTAAAAATGTGGAACTTTGTTTTTATCAAGTTTGACCTTTAGAGGTTCAGCTGAGGAAAGAAGAAGTGATGTGTTGTCATGGAAACGGTGATGCTGATCCGCTTCTCCAGAACAGAACTGTAAACATGAAGCTGATGATGTCATCATGAAACCTCAAAACAAACTAAATAAATCGCCTGCAGTTGGATAAAGGCAGCGGAGCGGGCCGGGTTTGGTTCTGGTTCTGGTTCTGGGTCTGGGTCTGGTTCTGGTTCTGGGTCTGAGTCTGATCCTGGGTCTGGTCCTGGGTCTGGTTCTGGTTCTGGGTCTGGGTCTGGGTCTGGTTCTGGGTCTGGGTCTGGGTCTGGTTCTGGTTCTGGGTCTGGGTCTGGGTCTGATCCTGGGTCTGGTCCTGGGTCTGGTTCTGGTTCTGGGTCTGGTTCTGGGTCTGGGTTCTCCAGCGGTTCTGGTCTCAGTGAAACCGTTATGAGCCTTTATGGGTTTACTGGTTTTATGGCCGGTTAATGTTTGCTCATCATCAGAGTCCAAAGTCTGACTTCTGGGTTCTGATCCGACTGAAACCGGGCCAGAATCCGACTGATTCTGATCCATTTGCATCAACAGCCTCACAGGTTTTATTGGATCTGCCTTCAGTTCTGGTTCTTCTTGACCTCTGACCTCTGGTTCAGCTGGTTCTGGTCGGTTTCGCCTCTCCTAACCGGGCCTGGCACCACAGCGACTGGAAACCAGAGCAGGTCAGCAGGTCAACATGTTCAGCAGCTGACGAATTGACCTTTGACCTTTCTGTCAGGCAGCTCCATTAGAAAACATTTAATGTAACTGAGTGAGCAGATTGAACGGCTGCAGGAGGGAAACCTGGATTAATTTAATCTCAGTTTGAATTCATCTGGATATTCTGAAGTTTTTCATGTTTTTTCTCCATCTTTACACGACTGAATAATAAAATGATGCTGATGCAGGAAAGAGTCTGAAAACTGAAAAAGCCTCCAGTTCAACAGGATGAACAAAGATTTTTAACTAACTTTAACTTCAGGCCCAGTCAAATTCCCGTCTGTCAGAAACGAGTCGATTTCAGAGAAACAAGCCTGAGGAAAAACCAAAAGGTTCGAGAAGAAAACCTGCAGGACTGGATGAAAAGGAGACAGAGACGTTCTATTTTGACAGAGGATCACTACGTGACGTTTTACCTGAAGAGTCCAAATCAGACTGTCCAGAATATCACTGATCATGTTTAGAGATAATATAATAAATAATGTGAGAAAGAGGAGAATATAAACGATAACCATAGAAACGTCCTAATAAAAGGATCAACTAGAATATAAAGAATGAAACAATGAGGAAGAACTGGAGCATGATCAAGAAAATAAACACAAAAGTGAAACCAAAACAAGTAACATCCTGATCATCTCTATTTAAATAAAACATGTTTGTTTCTATAAACCATCTGGTCTCCAGATTTATTCAGATTATTCAGATTATTCTGTTCTAAGAACCAGAAGTTACTGCAGATTATCAGAACCACAGGAGATGAACGACCAGAGGGAGACATTTACACCAAAACACTGAAACATTTATACATTCATTTCACATATTTATGATAAAAGATGTGAATATTCTCTGATGTCAAAACAATTTTCTCTGATTAAAAACTTCCTTGGTGTAAAAATGAAAGAATTATTTCAGACAAGACAGAAAAACTTAATACATAAAACCAGACGGTCAGATTTTAAACATGTTTAATGCTCATCTTTAAAACCAATTACACAGATAAAAACCCTTCGTTTTACTTGCATGTGACTTTTAGAGACGTCTGCAGAGAAGAAGAAAGTTTTAAAAACATGAAAAATATTCTCTGACATAAAGTCAGAAATTTGGGTCAAAAATGCGACAAATTCTGTAAAATTGAAGAGAAAATTAGAGAAATAAAGACATGAGAAATGTTTGGTTCCTTTAAATCAGAACTGAAAACATGAATGTTTTAGTTCATCAGTTTCCTTTTTTATTTCTCTGAGTTACGTCGAGTTTTTCTGGTTCCTGTTTCATCTGGAATCCTGCCGAGATCCTGAATGTGTGAATATCTCATTTGATCTCTGTGAGGAATCTTGATAAGAAATCCATTCAGCAGCTTCCCTGTGATCAGACGTGTTAGTGGAATAATTCCCTCCCAGTAAAACCATCATGTTGACTTTACTGGTTCAGCTGAAGCCGATTTTATCAGAGCAGAAACTGATGAGTCACTGAGCGGCTCGACGGTCGAGAAACAAAAACAGGGAGGAACGCGTCACGTAGACATGCTGAGCCCGGAGCTCACTGCTGCAGGAGAGGTCAGAGGTCACTGCTGCAGGAGAGGTCAGAGGTCACTGCTGCAAAAATACAGGGGAAAAAAACAACTATCTGTTTCAGCTGCAGGAAACGACAGCAGTCAGAGCAGCAGGAAAACTAAATCAGGACAGACCCAGACCTGAAATATGTTTTTAATAATTATTTTCTTTCAGTGAGGTGAGAGCAGCTGCAGCAGCTGCAGCAGCTGCATTTCTTCTCCGCCTCCCTCTGATCCATCCAGGTGTGTCGAACCGGAGCTGACAGGTGAAGCCCTGAAGGCTTTCCCAGCCGGTCGGACCAGATCTCCGTCTTTAAATCTTACCTCAGCATCTGGGCGCGTCGCATTTCCTCACCAGATCACCAGCAGATCACAGTGGATCACCAGCAGATCACAGTGGATCCGTGCTGACTCTTCTGTTCTCCCAGGCTGGACCCGAACAGACGATGGGTTAGAGCGACGCTCCGCAGGACATCCAGACACGTTTCCTCCCGCAGGATCAGAAACTGTCTGGTTTCTCCGCTCTGTGGGACTCCGTTTGCTGCCATGGCGACGAGGAGGAGCAGGAAGCTGCTCATGATGGTCGTCCTGCTGGAGTTCACCAACGGTGAGCAGAAACCAGACAGAAACGTCTGAACTTTTCCTCCAGCAGCAACGCTGCAGAGCTGCAGGCAGAACAACCAGCAGAGACGATTCGTCCAGAAAGAACTAGAAGTTCAAACTCAAGTCTAAAATACCTCATGAATTATTCCTGCTGCAGTTTTTCATAGTGTTGATACTAGAAAAAATAATCTGCACAGAAGCTTAGATATGAATGAATGAAGAAATGAAATGAAGAAATGAAGAAATGAAATGAAGAAAACAGATTTTATAACATTTAATATGAAGATTTTCAAATAAAAAACTGAAATCACAGAAAGATGAGAATAAATTAAATGTTTAGTTTCGTTAGGATTTTAAATCTGATGGTTCAGAACCGCAAAAGTTTCCACATTTCCAGATGTTTCCACATTTCCAGATGTTTCCACATTTCCAGATATTTCCAGATGTTTCTGGATGTTTGATTTATTAAATTTCCCTCTGGGATCAATAAAGTATTTTTGAATTTTGAATCTGAGTTTGACTCATGATGGAAACTGTCCCTGCAGGCGTCTGGACGCTGCCGGCTCCTGGGACCGTCTCCATGGACTCGGTCAACATGAGACACGTCCTGCGCTGGACGCAGCCCAGAGCATCATGCAACTCCACCGTGCTTTACTCCGTTCAGTACCAGGGGTGAGTAAAGTCACCTGATAAACAGAGGGAAATGCAGGAAGCTAAAAGATCTGCATAAAATGCTGTCGATGAATCATGTTTATATTAATGATGAATCATGTTTACATTAATGCTGCTGATTGTGAATCATCATCCAGTAAAGATTCACATGCAGATGAAAAATGTTTTGGTGAAAATTCAACAGGATCTGAAGGTTTAGTTTTTGGAAACTGAATCAATTTTTAATAAATTGACTCAATAAAAAACTAAAAGGCTGCAGGCTGACTGACCTCTGAGGTCAGAGGTCAATAAATGGACTAGATGCTGTAAATGTAATTAAGTTTCTGGATCTGATTAAAATCAGCCTTTTAGAAACACGTTTGGTGATTTATTGAAGTTATAAAATCATCAAACAGATTTCAGTGGGAAACACAATCAGATCTTTTCTTCCTCCTTCCACTAACTTTTCCCTTTTTCTTCTCCTTAATCAAATCTGTCACCATCTTCATAAATAAAGACTTATTGATTCCTAATGCATGAATAATGTCTCATTTCTGTTGGAAACAGTAAATGAAACCATTCAGCTGCCAGACTCTGTTCACTCAGATGAACTTTTCTGTTTGCAGTTTTTGGTCTTTTGTTGCTTTCAGAGGTAGAAAAAAAAACTATTTGCTCACATTTATCTATAGATATCTTCATTCGTTCATTGGTGAGTGAGTGAGTGAGTGAGTGAGTGAGTGAGTGAGTGAGTGAGTGAGTGAGTGAGTGAGTGAGTGAGTGAGTGAGTGAGTGGTCATGATATGCCCAATAAAAAACATGGAAACGTTCTGATCCTAAATGATGCAGAAACGTTTAAAGGTTTTGGAGAAACTGCAGCAGCGGATCGGCTGCAGCTGGACAGGAAATGAGACGAAACATTTTTGCTCTGAGCAGAAATTTAACGAAGCGACGGCTCTGCAGGGGGAATCAGGAGAGGAACAATTAGAGAAGAGAATAAACACAGGAAGAACCGAAGCTGGATGTTCTGCAGTCAGAATGAAACGTAAAAACCAGCTGATCAGCAGTTTTTTATTGACAATAAAGGGGTTTACAAAATAGCAAAATTAACAAACAAGTAACAGAACAGACAAGAGAATAATGTCAGGGTGTTTCATAGGAAGCACAAACAAATCGAAAAGCAAATGTATAAATAAAAAGTTAACTCAGAAAGATGTTAAAGTGAGCGCACATATCCATTGTCTTACTGCTTTTCTATTTATTAAATACTGGAGAGATGTAATATATTGATTGAATTCCTCTGTAAAGGCTGAAAAGTGAGGTTTCTGATTTGAGAATTTCGCTGATCTGCATTTTTCTACAGTTACTGTTTCCTCATTATTGATTCTTCTGAACTTTTTTCATTTAATCTGAGTTAAAACATCACTATGGTTTCTATTGATGCAGTTCAAGACTGTTTAAAATACAGTGGTGCAGTTGGTAGAGCTGTTGTCTTGCAGCCAGAAGGTTCTGGGTTCAATTCCCGGCTCAGGGTCTTTCTGTGTTGTTGCATGGTGGGTTTTCTCCAGGTCCTCTGGCAGAAACATGACTAAATTATCCTTGATGTGATTATTTGTCCAGTCTGTCGTTGTGATGGACTGGTGACCCCACCGCGTGCCCGGTGATAGGAACCAGCAGCCCCCATGACCCCAGTAGGGATTAGGACTCTGGTGTCGGGATCCAGAGAGAAACTCAGCTTGGAGACGAATCAGTCTGGTTGAGGTTCAGCTTCTTTACTTTAATAACACACAGAGAATCCGGAAATGTTACTTTTGTAAGAGTAGCAATTCATTATAATATAACTCAAGTAAAGTAAAAAGTATATTTTGGTAAAACCCCGTCCCTCTGCTGGAGCCCCGTTCTCCTGGATTTAAGACCAGAGGGAATAAACTCTGAAAACGTTCTGAAGGTGAAGCGTTTCCACATCAGTAACTGTGTTTCCATTACAAAACTAAACAAAATGCTGCTAATAAGAAACTTTAAAACATAAGTTTGTCAGTGCGATAGGTTATTTAAAAATATGCATCTCACTTCCTGTCGTCTTCTTCATCATTTCCTCCAGTAGTAACATCTGGCAGTTGATCATCATATGATGCAAAAAAAAACATCCAAAATAATTCATTTTTGTGAAACACATTAACTGTGGTGAATGGAAACACAGCTGGTGTCTAATTTCAGTTTTCTCATTCATCATGCTGGACCTCGTCAGGCTTCCACACGATCGGTTTCTTTCTCAAACTGATTTTGTGCTGAACGTCTCTGATCAGATTCCAGCCCAGTCAGTCTGGAACATTCTGGAGCCGTGTGTCACCTGCTGTACATCAGAAGCTTCACTAAAGTGCCAGCTGATCGCTCCGACGGTTCTTCTGAAGCCCAGCAGCATTCTTCCGTTCACCGCGCTGCAAAGGCTCAGACTGCAGCTTTCATTCTCATCAGAACAAAAGAACCTATGAACCAGTTTTATAGGCTCATATTTAAACCTATAAAACCTGTTTAGCCTTTTATTAGCTGAAACTCAGTATTTATTAATCTCATCTGTACCTGAACGCATCCAGAGAATAAGAAAACTTTAAAATAAAAAAATCTGACACTTTTAATAGTAACATTATTTGACACCAAACCAGTCAGGAGAAACATCCGGAGGGCAAAGGGCATAAAGTCGGACTGGTTTCTGACGTCTTCTCTGGAAACAAATTTTCTCTTGATTTATTTTCATTATCGCTCGTTATGCTCAGAGCCAGTCATGCAGCATTCCCAGGAAACCATTCAGACGTTCACCTCCATCCCAGAGTGATCATGTTCTGATCTACCTGAGCCGAAACAAAGTTTACCAAAGTCGAACCGAGACGCTTCTGGAACAAACCTGACAAATAAACTTCTTAATAACATCAGAGCCCAACATGAATCTCATGGTTTGGCTTTTTTCCTCCACCAACACAGAATCTCTGCTCTTCTCTGTTTTTATTTTTATCAGGCTTGAATCATGACCTGATACTTGGGACTGATGCCCAGTCAGTGATTTAGTGCAATGAGCATAATAATAATAATAATAATAATAATAATAATAATAATAATAATAATAATAATAATAATAATATACTTATTTGTAGAGTGTTTTAAAGACATATATTTTTATTGCTCCTTTCTTCTTGGTGTTAATTAGTCTCCATCCCTCAGTTTCCCAGCATGCACTCTGCCTCTGCTGTCCTTCATTTGCTTCTGATTGGCTCGTTGTTTTTTGAAATGTTTTTCAGTTCAGTGTTAAACTCCTCTCCATCATGCAGCTGATTCTGTTGAGCTTAACACTCAGCCTGAGACACAGTGAAGACCGGAGCGTTAGCTTAGAGATGTTAGCTTAGAGATGTTAGCTTAGAGATGTTAGCTTAGAGATGTTAGCTCTTCTCCCAAATCATCATTTCTATAATAAAAATATTAACGAGGTAATAAAGCTCAACAGAGAACTGAAATGTCAGTGACAGATTCAGGTGTTCATGTCCCTAACAGTGATTCAGTGAGCCGCCTGGTTTTAGAGATCAGGCCTACAGAACCTTCAGACACATAAAGTCAGTTACAAAGTCGGCCTTCTGTCACCTGAAGAACATTTCCACGATTAGAGGACTGATCGCAGCAAAACATAGAGAAATTCATCCGTTCATCCCCAGAACCAAACAAGCTGCATTCAGCTTCTATGCACCACAAATCTGGAACAAACTTCTAGAAAACTGCAAAATAGCCGAAACACTGAGTGCCTTTGAATCAAGATTAAAACCTTCCTGTTAAAGTTGCTTTGGATTGATCAGAACTGGATCATTAATCAATATATTTGATGTGCATTAATGATTTTCTTGATGGAATTTTACAAAATGCAATGTTTGTTTGTTTCATATTGAATGAATCTTGTTATGTTGTTATAGTGTAAAGCACTGTAAAACATAATAGTTTTATGGAGTCAAACCTTGTTGAGGTTGTTAGTTTTAAACAAACAGTGAATGAAACCAGCAGCAGCTTCAGACTCAATGAAACGTTTTCCAGATGGAAGCAGCTCATTTTTCTAAATTCACAATGAAAACACAGATTTATGTATCGGGTAAAATTCACACAAGCTGCAGAGACAACATGTTGTTTATGAGCACCAGCAGCCTGACTCTGTTTATGTTTTAGTGTTGCTTCATATTCCAGCAAACCGACCCGACCTGACAGACGAGCAGGTGAGTCACAGCAAACAGGAGTCAGAGTGATCAGCGCCTGCAGCCATTAGCATGTCTGACTGACAGCTGCAGCGTCCTGCAGGGGAATGCAGATCAACGGCTGCAGAGCAACGCTGGTCCTGAACCTGAGGTCAAAACCAACAAAAACATTCCTGACAATCAGAGCAGAAAGATTAGAGAGGATTACTGAGAGTCTTCTCTCAGAATCAAACCCAGCTGGTGGAAAACTTCAGAGACTGTAACCAGGCTGCAGGACGTCACAGAGTTTCCACCCGTTTCTGTTTCCAGGGAGTTTGAGCTCCTGATCAAGAACGGCAGCTGGATAAACGCTGCCGAGTGCCAGAGGATCCCCCTCACCAGCTGCGACCTGACCTTTGACCTGGGGTCTGACTCCGACTACAGCCTGCGGGTCAGGGCGCAGTGTGGCTCCAAGATGTCCGCCTGGGCCAAATTTCCGTTCAACAGGAACAACAGTAAGAGTTCTCCACCGATTGATTAAACCCAAACATGTCCAGCCTCAAAGGTCGTATGTTCAGGAAGGGATCATGTGTCTCTGCAGTCACGCCTCCAGTTCCTGAGCTCAGGGTGACGGCAGCAGGCGACGTTCTGCTGGTGTCCGTCAGGAAGTTCCCTCTCACCGCCGTTACCATGGTGACGATATGGAGGACAGACAAAGAGCAGCAGGTGGTTTTCTTCACTTTTATCCTCCTTTTTGTCTCGTTTATATTTTCATTTCTGGCCTCTAGAAGCTGCAGTTTGATCATCTCTGGAAGTTCAGCCTGCAGCTGTTTTCAGTCACATGAACTGACCTGATGCTCCTGCGTTTCTGTTTCTGTCTTCAGACTAAGGATTACTCCATGCCAGCAGACCAGGAGGTGCTGCAGGTCGCCGCCCTGCAGGAGGGAGCGGTGTACTGCGTCAAGGCCAAGGTTGTCCTGAATCTGGACGTGCAGAGCGGGTTCACCGACAGCCACTGTGTTTCCATCACAGGTGAGGAAAACTTTTCAGACTCACTTCTTCAGTTTGACTCCAGAAAACTAAAACCAGTTTAATCAGCAGCCCTTTTTGGAGCGGTCTCAGGTCCGCTTGGCGTTCGCATTCAATCCAAACTAAAATTCACTTTAACCCAGACTGAGGTTTGGACCAGAGTTGGATTAGCATTCACACCGCGCCCAGCGAAGCGGACCGAACCGGGCTGGTGTGAATTCATCCTCAGACTGGAATCTCATTAGAAAACGGGTGAGTTCCCACTTGGCTGGTGCTTTAATCAGAGCCTGGCTCTCCTGCAGGTCCTGGCGCTCCGGCGTGGAAGCAGCCCACCGCGGTGACGGTGACGGTCGTCGTCATGTTGGGCCTCCTGATCGGTTTGTTCTGGGCGCTCGTCCACTGTCGCCCCGACTCCTGTCAGAAGTATTTCCAGAAAGAGCCGCTGCCGTCGTTTCTGGTGGGTCTTCAACACGTCGTGCTGTAGATTTCAGTTTTTATGGTTTGTTCACAAGACAAAGTCAGGATTTTCTAAGTCTGACAAAATTTTCTTTCTTATTTCTAAGTTTAAAAAACATATTGTAAAGTTTTGGGGAATTTTCTCCTTGAGGAGCTTTTCAGTTTCTAAAGAGGAGAAAAAAAACCAATTGTAAACTGCAAAATTAAAACAAATAAATAAAACAATGAGTGCTGGGACATTTTTCTGGAGAAAAAATAACTTTTTGTGCCATTCAGGATTTAAGCAAAAGCAAAATCACTGAAAGACTCAACCGAAAAAGAGACTTAAAAAAATGTTTTTCTTTTATGGTCAAAAATACCTGATAGAAAAACAAAACTGACTTTTTCAGGAAGAAAATGTTCCACGAAATATGAAAATGCTTGACAATATCTAAACTTTTTAAATTTATTTATTTTAATGTTGAGACAGAAAATTTGGTCAGACTCAGAAAATGGACATCCATATAATGAGTTTCTATATTTTAACCTCCAATGCTGTTTATCTCTGGATGATCCCATTTCCCATCTGAATTCAGATTTTCCACTGATGTTCTTCCTCTGCTCAGACATTTTTATTTTTCTCTGTAATCATGTTAGAGAAAAATGACGACTTGATCCAGAAAGGTTTGGCTTGATGGGCGGGGCTTCTGCTGCCTGGCGCCATCTGCTTTGTGAAACTAGTGTAGAAATAAATCAAACTGCAGAAAGCAGGAGCTCAGCGTTTGGATTTATGAAAGAATGTTGTTAAACTTTTGAACCAGGTTGATTTTCATCTGTGTGCAGATTGGGAACGTCACCGTCTGGATTGCGATTCCCCAGCAGAGGGAGGAGCTTAGTGCTGTCACTGTCAGCCCCCCCCTGCTGAGAGGCGGAGCAACGTGACCCCGGCTCAGCGCTGTGATCGCCATGGAAACAGCCGTCACTCGGGGCGACCGGGGGTTTCCCGGGTCCGGCTGACCGAAGGAGGCCGACCTCGAGGTTCTGCTGCCTTCAGGTTTAAAACGAGGCTGGTTTACCGGCATGAAGGGGGAGGAGGTCAAAGGTCACAGCATGTTTGTGTTGTACAGACAGTAAAGGAATATTTCTATAAACTGTTCTCAGAAGATTTAATTAAAGCCATGAAGGCTCTGAAAATGCCAGAAAAAGATCACATAGAGGTTCATGTTATATTTATACATAAAAAGTAAAACCTAAACTTTACCCACCAGATAAAGAACGAAGATTTGGTGAGTTACAGGTTTTATTTCTTTATTTTCCACCATAACAGATTTATTTTAACCCAGTTTATTCAGGATTTGTGTCGACTTAAGGGTGGTTTTATATTATATTATATTATATTATATTATATTATATTATATTATATTATATTATATTATCTCTCAGGGTCTCATGGTTTTATATGAACACTTTACCAGGTTTGGGTTCAAACTCGGAGATCGTCTGAAAAAGACAAACGTTTTTATGAAGGATAATATAAAGTGTTTTATTGTCTTATTGTTGTTTCATTCAACGTTCAGCAGTACTGCGTCTTTTTATTTCAAGGATTTTTGTTTTATATTGTAAAACTCTTGTTTTGTCATGTAAAGGTTTAAAGAATATACATAAATAGTTTTCAGGGTTTTGTTCCCTGCTGCTGCTAGTTACCATGGCAACAGCTACAGTTTCCTCAACACAGGAAGTGATTTAACACGCCGTTGCCATGACGGTCTTAAAGCTGGACGTTCATGGAGGCTTTTTTTATCTTTATTTCAGTTTATGTCCTTATTTTTAATCAAATAAATCTTTTGTTGTCCCAACTTCCTGTCCAGACTAAAAAATATTTGTCGATTCCTTTGATCAAATTTAGACTTCAGATGAATGTCTGAAACATTCATGTCGGAAAGTAAATCTGGCTTTTCTGCATTATTGTTCTGAGGGTGTGAAAGATTTTTCACCAGTAATAATTCTGAAAATGTCACAAATGTATGTTTTTATCCTGATCTGATTAAAGAAACGCAGAACTTCCCAGAAAATAAATCATGTTTAATGTTGGAAATGCTGCTCTGTGAAAACTAAAATAATTTGCTGAAGAACGTTTATCTTAAGCTGTTTTCTGGTGTTTTTCTGGACTGAATTTAAAATAAATGTTTTGATTTGATTTTCCTAGAACAGAATTTTTCCTTCTGTTGTTTGGATGTTGGAATGTGTTTTAAAACAAAGTATAATTTTGTCCATTTTCACTCGAGAACAATGTTCTATGTCAGTTAATAAATGAAGAATTTAAATAAACTGCATGAATGAAAGATGTTTATGTTTTTTGTATTTTCCTGGTATTTTGATGATTTATGTTTTGTGATTAACTCCATGAGGACAGAAGGACTCTTCACCATCACCCTAATCTCTGATTCAAGGTAGAGGAAACGTGTAAAAGGTTACTTTACTTAAACCTAAATCTGCCGGGGGTATGAATACTTTCGGGCTGTACAGAGACAGACTTCCGGAGGAAGTAGAAGTACCGAGCAGGAAACACCGCCCCCTGGTGGACGTTAAAATGTATTTACGTCAAAGTAAAATATGAAATGTTCATTTTATCAAAGGATTGATAAATATCACGTTTTTCTGTTAGATAAATATGCATGTAAAAGTTTACAAAAATAAATGTTCTTACATGTTGTTGGATAATTTAAACATTGAGAATTAATGGGAATCAAAATTTAACTATTTCTAAATATTGTTCTGATAATGAAAGATGTAAATTAAAGTGCCTTGCAGCTGTTAGTTTAACTTTAGAAGTTGAAAGCATTGCATTAGAAATGCTCTGAGGGCATAGCACTTCTAAAAGCTAAGTATGCATGAAAGTTTCTAAACTTATTTAGTGTTAAACTGGATTTACATCATGTAAGATGAATGTTGTGAATCCTGCAGATCAATGACTGAAGATGTGCTGCCCCCTGGTGGACACAGGAGCAACTGACTGTAATCATAATCCAGTGTTGTGAATGAAAGCTGAGCTGAACTGAACGGTTTGTTATTGGAGTTTATTATGAGTAAACATGAGAATTTCCTCTGCAATTTTAATTACATGCATCTCAGAAAATTAAAATATGAACGAAGTTAATTTATCTCAGTAATTTGACACCAATGGAGAAACTCGTGTTTGAAAACAACCTTTTTGCAGCAGTTATATGACATAATTTTCTGAAAAGTAGCTTCCATTTAAACAAACGGTTCAAAATACAGTCCTGTGTCTATACAGACATTCAATGTCACTTCTTGAAGTAACATATCCTAACATGGTTATGTGTTTAAATAAACCATCTCTAAGCAGCTAAAGGAAAAGTTGATTCGATTATCTCAGTTAAATTCAGTTTATTCACAAAATGCCAGTTCACAACCGCATAGTTTCAGGGATTTTACAAAACAGTAAATTCAATCCAATTATCTGCTGGATAACTGGATCCAATGGATAATTATCCACTTATCCATCCGTTTGTTGCCATGACATGACTTTCACACAAACCCTAAAAATCCTAATTGTGGAACCTTGCAAAAAATAAAATGAAAATAAAGCAACGAGATCTCTATGTGTGAAAAAGGACAGATTTTTCTTACAGCTAAACAAAACAGGAAAAACATCTATAAAGTATGCGACAGACGCTCACCCAAAGTGAAAAGCAGATACACAGAATCATTAACAGCCCAAAGACACACAGCAGACGCCGTCTGCTCACAGTTCACTATTCACAGATTCACCAATTTACTGATTTTTTATGTGGATCATAACTCAAAATTATTTGAAGAAAATCTAAAATATTTGTTAAAACATGCACTTTAGGAAGCTGAAATATTTTGTTGTAATTCTCCTTGAAACACTTGATACACGATTGGCTGATATTTTCAAAGCAGTCAATCCAGGAGCACCGTTCATTTTTCTTGGCACTGATTGGCTGAACCCACAAGAATGGCAAAAAGGAAGACTGTGAATAGAGGCAAGACTGTTTCAATGGGAATAATAATGCAGATTAAGGCCTATTTGGTGTTTGAACTCTTAAAGTAGGGTTATATGTAAGAGTTTTTGGAGTGGGGTCTTAGATATTCACAGGTTTTAGCCATTTGTTAGCAGCCATGGTCCCGAACCCAACAGTGGTGGGAACATCTTTAAAATGACAAAGTAAAACAACTTGTTTTGATTTCCAGGAAAATACACAAAATACAATACAATTATTATAAAAAGCCATTTAAAGAAGCAAAAATAAGTAAAACTGAAAACAGCTCAGCCAGTGTTGGTCACTGACTGATTATTGTTGTGAAGGCATCAGATTACTGATGACCCAGAACTTCCTTCTCTACTCTGTCTATGATCTCTGCCTTTTCCTTCAGTTTCATCAGAGACTGAACTCTCTCCTTCCAGCCTGGCTTGGCCTCCTGTTCCTCTCCTTTAATGAGCAAGTCGATGTATTCTGGAGTGGTGAGAGGATTTGGGTTCAGGACTATCTCCTTCATTCTGTTCAGACATTTTGCAGCCTCTGCAATCAGTTTCACCACATCATCCTGCATAGATCGATACTCAGACATCAGATTTTTCATCAGCTGCTCTAAGGTTAGCTTCTGTCCACAGGCCTTTTCATATTTTTCTTTTAGTTGTTTCACAGTTTGTGCTTCATCAACTTGACTATATTCCCATCTGAAGCTCTGGTTAGAATGAACGTTCCAGAAACATTTCCCTGGACACACCTGACAGTATCCTCCCTGCCCCATTGCAGCACATCCTCTCTTACCATCATCATTCGGTATGCTACAAGGGTAGTGACAGGTAACACAGCACTGCATGCAGTTGGTGATATAATGCCTAGTGTGAGAAATATCAATTTGCCTGTTCTTTCTCCCGGTGATGTGAAACACAAAGTCCTCATTCTTCCTGATCTCTGCTTCATGCTCTTTGAGTTTGTCGTTCGTCTCCCTGATATCCTCTAGCTTGGCCAAGTTAAGTTTAACCTGCTTCTGAAGCTCCTCCACTGTACTCTCCAGTTGCTGTCTTTCTTTCTGAACCTCAATGGTCATTGTCAGTCTTATGGTTTTGATGTTGGCTAGACTAGCAAAGAAACCGGCAATGTTGTTTGTCCCCATGTTCCAATACTCAAAGGTTTTCTCTTTGTACGGCCAAATCATGCGTCTTACTAAGGAGGATTTGTTGTTAGCAAACAGCACTGAGTTATTGAATTTGAAGTGAACTGGCAGCCCGTCTGCACCTTTAGGACATGGGACACCGGACACTTTGATGGCCTCTACAACTGGTTGCTGCTGCTCGTCTGCAAACGTCACCAGGATCCTGATGTTTTCTGCCACATCTTTGCCAAAGATTGAGAGAGCTGAATCAAACACATACCTTTGTGTTGATGTCAGTTCAGTTAGACCTGCCTGAACCACGAAACACACAGCATCAATGTCACCAACGCCTTCCTGGTTAGCAAAGAGGTTACGCAGCTGCTCTGTGATCTCCTTGTCTCTGTCTACGCCGCCGGTTCCCCCAAAGCCTGGAGTGTCTATGATGGTGAGGGAGTAGTTCACCCTGAATCCCTCCTGGTGGTAGAGTTTGTACACTGTGATTTCTGATGTCTGACTGTGAACCTGTGAGTCTGACTGACCTTCGTCCACTAACTTAAACCGAAACGAGTCTTCCCATCTAACGCCCAGAACGTAGTTCATCATCGCATTGATGACAGTGGACTTCCCAGCACCTGCAGCTCCAAGAACCATGATGTTTCTGTTACAATTCATGGATTTCTCTCCAAAAGTGAAACTCTTGCAGCCATTAATGTTGGTCTGTTTCTCTTCTAGAGGAAGTCTGTAAATCGGGACATGGCCGGTTTGTGACGTTATTAGAGTGCTTTTCCCTTTGACAACATCAGCCAGTCGTTTAGCTCCTGGGCTTGACTCAGTGCAGGTCTTTGAGTAGCTCGACCCACTGGTGAACGACACGAATACATCTGAACCCAGTGTGACTAAGTCTGACACTGTGATGATGTCCAGCGAGTTGAACCAAAGTGTGACATTCACAGCAACTGAGAGGGTTGTTATCAAAGAGGTTGAGAAAGTCAGGAACACAGTGACTGTCACTATTAACACTCCTAATATTTTAGGATTCTTTAACCTGGAAGGGAAGATATGTTTCAGTGTAATGATGTTAAACCGATGCAAACTAAATACTAAAGACACAATAACTGAGATAGTTATTACCAGCACGTTTGACATGAAGAAGAAGACAGAGACCGTCAGTGTGAGCACTCCTGATATCTTTGGATCATCTAATGCCAGGATGACCAATTTTAAAAGGTTCCTCCCAGATGTGAAAACATCCGTCAGAGTGATGATTTCCAGCCAATTGGACCAAAGTGTGACGTTTACAACAACTGAGAGAGTCGTTATCAAAGAGGTTGACATGGTGAGAAGCACTGCGATCGTCACCATGAACACTCCTGATATTTTAGGATTCTTCAACCATGACGGGAAAAAATGTGTCAGTGTAATGATGTTAAACCGATGCAAACTAAATATTACAGACACAGTAAGTGAGAGAGTTATTACCCATGAGTTGGACATGAAAAACACAGTGATTGCTGGTGTTAAAACTCCTGACATCTTGGGATCATCTAATACTGTGAAGACGAACTCGGAAAGGTTGATCTCAGATGTGAATACATCCTTCAGTGAGATGATTTCCAGCCAATTAAACCAAAGAACAACATTCACAGCAGCTAAGACAGTTGTGGTCATTGGGTTTGACAGAGTGAAAAACACTAAGATCGTCACTGTCATCACTTCTGATATTTTAGGATCATCTAATGCTGATGGGAAGAAACCTGCCAGTGTAATGATGTTCAACCAGTGCAGACTAAATACTGCAGACACAACAACCAAGAGAGATGTTGTGAGGGAGTTTGACATGATGAAAAACACAGTGACTGTCAGTGCCAGCACTCCAGAAAGCTTAGGATCATCTAATGCTGTGAAGGTTAACTCTGAGAAGTTCCTCTCAGATGTGAATAC